ATCATATTAAAATATATATATATATTTTATGAAATGGTCAAAAAACCCTAAAATTAGGGTTAAAATTGAGATAAAAGTACGAATTTGGTATGACAATACTGATAATAATGGTATATATAACATATAATTCTATAATTAGAACACTATAAAATTAATATTGAAACAATAACAAAATAATAAAACACATAACGTATATAACATAAATGTCAGTGAAGAATGATTAATTAGATCGCTGACAAGGGTTTATATAAAAACGCAACGTGGCAGGGTTGAATTTAACGTTCAAAAAATTCAATGTGGTGAGGAATTAGGGCGAAAGAAAGGTGCAGAAATAAGAAGAAAATGCAACATAGAAACATAAAGAAGCAGAGAAACATAAAAACAGCCAATAAACAACGAGAGAAAGTGAGGTATTACGTTAGCAATGACGAATTGACTTATAATGAAAAGAAAAGAATGATAAATTAATAATAAAATAAATCGAATATAAAAAGGTGTTAATTACTAAGCATTACGTAACACAAAGGGTTTAAAGATCTAAAAAATACAAGAAACAATAACTTCGAATATATACAAATACAATGAATGATTTTTCCAAACAAAATTTAACATTATCCAATACCAATCAATTCAACTTTAAAAAGCAGCATGTGTTTATTAGCGGGGGACTAGGTACAGGCAAGACTACTTTATTTAATTTATTAAAAAATTATGTAGAACCAAAAGCAGATGCATGTTTTATAAAGGAATATATTAATTACGACTCAAAGGGAGAGGAATACTTAGAACAACTATTTAATAAAGAATTAACCAATTATCGTTTTCAACTCTACATAATAGACTGTTACGAAGAACAACTTAATACACCAGAATACGAAGCAGCAGATTTAATTGTTTGGGAAAGACATCCAATGGAATCATTATATATATTTTGCAATTCAGAACACGAATTGGCCGATGCAGAAAAATTCACTCTTAAAATGAAACTAGAAAGGTTATGCGAAAAATATCAAATACCCCATATTTATGATGCAGAATTCCAATTATTAAATTTAGATACTTCAACACTTTCAATAGATTCTACTTTTAATTATCTTATGCTCGAATACATCTATCCAATTTTACTTGGAGAAATGGAAGGAGATATATTTATTTTATTGTATTGCAGTGATTTAAAAGAACAGTTTGATAGAGTTATCAATAGAGGTAGAATTTCCGAATGTAATCATTATAAAGAGAAAGAAGATTTACTCCCAGTTAATTCAGCATATGATGATTTATTCTTCAAATTGATAAACACTAGATAATCTCTAATTGATTAATTATCTGGTTAAAACATTTCAAGGTTTATATAATGTCAGACAACGAAGAAATAACAACCAATAAAGTTAATGATACAAAAACTTCAAGAAATCAATTAATAAAACGCATGTGTATAGCAATACCATTAGCATTTATTTTATTAATACTCTTGTTAGGAATTATTTGTGCTCAATTAATTTTAAAATATTTATTATAACCATTAAAGTCTAAAGGAATTAAATTATTTTTTAGGCTTAGTAATTTCTGTTAACTTTTTCTCTCGATTTTCCCTACAACGTTTAAAAGCATCAATAACGTTTTTATGCAATTTAACCATCTTACTGGAAAGATTAGCAATATCTTCGACCAAATATGCATCATCTTCAATTAATTTAGAATATTTAACACTACAGCAAGGAATCATTTGCTCTTTCTGACAAAGAAATTTCATATCTTCACAGAGACTTTGTAAATCTTCCAAATCAACATAGTAATCATGCAAAGCATTCAAAACAATATCTTCCAATGGGTAATATTCGCATCGTTCATCAATATCAATTGACATTTTTATATATTTTGTTTTTATTAATTCCATTTAAATTATATTGACAAATAATCACACGTATTCAAATACCTCAAACAGACACAAAAATACACAGACAGACAATAAAACAGACAAAATTACGACCTCATAACACAAATAACATCATTTCAAAATATATTTAAACCCTTTACAGTTCCACTTTTCATATCAAATGCCAAATAGAAACATTACAATTGAATGTCTTAAAGAAACAATTGAAGAAATGAAAATCGAAGTCAATGCTCGCCTTAGAACAAATATACCAGAAGATAGTAAAAGTATTTTATATTCCATTGCCTTTTGGATTAGAAGTATTATGTTTACTGAAGAGTTTAATTACAACAAAAATATAGATGATTACATCTTTATTATTATACGAGAA